GGGGGGGGGTATACTCATATACACGCATGCGGTTTGTCGTTGGACAGTCAGAGAGGGGAGGGGGACAGGGGACAAAAGAGCAGGCGTGCACTCATCAAATAGTTTACCAGGCGATATGTGGTCCGCTTGGGGTCTCGCCAAGTACCCCCCCCTTTCACGGACGGTAGTTTCTCTTTCTTTTCTTTTTTCATCCCTTAAACCAGTCGAGTCTTCAAGAAGCCCCCTCTCTTCAAGTGAATCTCCTGCCCTCTTTTCGTCTGCGTCGTTTTTTCCTCCCCTTCCTCCACACCCCACGTCGACCACCCCCCGCTCCCCACCCCCCCCCACCCTCCCTTTTCCCGGCGCCCCCAGGGGGCGGCTTGGAGGGGGTTCCGCGTTTTCCTCGCGGGGGCGGGGGGGGCCGCGCCCCTCCCCGCCATGGTGGCCCCCATGACCCCGCTGCCGGTGTTGGGGTTCCCCTTCAAGACTTGGACGTTGAGGGGGGTGGATTCCTTCCACAGCTTGTTCCAGATCCCCCGGGGGGTGCCGGTGGCCACGTTGGGGTTGGGCAACGGGACCAACCCAGGGTTGTTACCAGTGGGGATGTGGCCTTGGGGGGAACCCCGGTTTCGGGTTGGGAGGGGCCCCCCCGGAAAAGGGGAGGGGTTGGGGGGGGAGGGGTCGCCGCTCCTGCGAGCCATGGACGAGTACATGGCGCGGTCCGGTAAGGAGGTGGAGGAGAAGGCGCTGAAGATGGAGGAGCAGGGCTGGAAGGCGTATCTCAGCGCCAAGGCTGACAAGAGTACCACCGTCGGTGTTTGATTTCACGGGGCTGCAAGGGGGGGGGGTTGTTTTGGGGGGTGTGTGGATGTTAACCTTTTTTTTGCTTTTTTGTGCGAATGCAGTACGAGCACTGCATAGAGAGGGAGGTCAATAGGTTGCGGGAAATTAAGGACACGTTTTGGGCCTTACGCCTGCCGAGGCAAAGTCGTCCTTGTCGCGGTGGTGTGTGTGCGTGTACACTTCGCTTTCGGAGTTGAGATTTGGGAGAGAGACATTGACATTGCGTGTCGGCCGTTCCGTTGCTTCCGAACGGAGGAGGAGGTGGTGGTGGAGGTGGAGGAGGAGGTGGAGGAGAAAGCTTGGGTGGCAGAAACGGATATTTTGATGTGGTAGCTTGAGGAGTGTGCGCCCTTCGAAAGGGAGCTTTCAGGGAGGTGACGAGGCGTGTCACACGCGTACATACCCGCACCTCGTGGGGCAGAGCATCCGGCCGGTACCAGTACTGGCGTTCCTCCACCTACCCGATGCTGGCGTGTTGGTCCTTACCGTCTTCTTCGTCCTCGTCGTCATTAGGCACGGGGTATACAGTACGGCCTCTGGCGAGGAGGGCCCGTGTAAGCAACACGGGCAGGGCAGGGCACGTATGGTACCACTCTTTTATGCCGACGAGAAGACCACCGCCGAAATCGACCGGGGAGGGGGGCCTGCGGCTGAGCCGTGTGCATGACGGGTGTTCGGGTACGCGTTTTGGAGGCCTTTTTCTCACGAAAGAAGGGAGGGAGAGTGGGGAGCGAGTGCGAGCTCCTCTCTGTTGTACGTGGTGTGAAGCCTCGCCAGCCCCGTTCGCGACCCCACCCCTCACTCGCAGTCTTGCCCAAGCAAGCAATATCTTGATATACCCTCTTGCGTTCCCCACCCCATGCCTTGCTATGCATGTATGTAGGGAAACGCCGCTCCCAGCAGGGTCCCCTCGGAGCAAAAGACGGTGCCCCCTGGCGGCAGACCGGCGATCAGACAAATATATTTTTCAACGTAGGCTTGTATTATCGCCAAGGCAAACGAACACCAAACAGGCTACATGTCTACCACGTGCTCTGTCATGACGCACACAACACGTTTGCTATCTAACGGTTGCCGTCTTTAATCCAGAGAGCAGCTTAGCCCCCCCCATGACGCCCCCCCACGGGGTCCCAGATCATGGCATTTTTCTGTTTTTCAGCCGCACTGAGACTGAGGCCATTTCATTTGCCAGCCGGTTAGCGCGCGATCGATGCAACAAACACAGACACACACAAACACACCCTGAGGAGACGACTCGAGATTCAGACATGAAAGCATGCCCCCGACGAAAAGAAATACGGCCCCCCACTATCCGCAAAACGCGGGAGCCAATCTTCATTTTCAGTCGCATGCGACAGGTAGCATCCAACACGCTGTGTAGAAAATACTTCGAAAGAAGTATTACCCGCTCATCTGCCGGGAAGCAACGGGTTCCAAAAAAGCCATTTGAGCTTCCTTTTTCTCTGGTCTGATTTTCCATTCCACCCTCCCACGGAAGAAGGCCCATCGCTTCACCGACCACCAACCTGGTTACACCGCCCGGCCGCCGCGTTGTCACACGTCTTTTCTTGGGGGGACGGCACGGCATGGCCCGAACTACAGCAAGGACGATTTTTATCCCATCGAACAAAAGTGCACAGCCCCCCCCCCACGCCCCCCGTACGTCTTTCGCCCTCAACAGAAAACAATTTGGACTAATCAGCACCCCAGCAACAAAACCCCACACAACATCCATGAAGGGGTGGTCCACAACGTACAAAAGAAGTGGTCCCGATATATCACGGTCCAGGGTAGCGATGTTCCCGGTATATAGTATCGCGGAAACAATCCCTTGGCACAACAACCTATGGTAGCCTGCTACAAAATTACTATTCACGGACCTTCCCCCAATAGCGCGGGTCCCGACGTAACACCGTGGATTATGCCCTGTCACTTCACCGCAAATGTGTCGGGACAACTACTGTACCAGCATGGACATAGCACTTCAAGGCAAACCAAACCACCACCATACACTCCAACCCTCGCCACCAGGCAGACTTGACTCAATCTACAGTCCATGCCCCAAAAAATGATCCGGAGCAGAATGAAATGAGATGAGCATGAGCACGAGGACTAGCCACAAGAAAGAGAGGGCGGCCATGGTGCGCGCTTCCGTACACACACGACATGGCAATTGTGATCCTGCAGAGGCACGGCACCCAGCACCCCCTTCCAAGCGGTCCAGGGCAAACAAAACCCTTGCCCATGATTACGCCCTCCGCCCCCCCTCCCCCCCCCCCAGCCAAACGGGGGGGGCGTACTCCTACGTTTTGTACCATGCCTTAACGGTTAAACCCAGTCAAACGGAACGGATTTATTGCGGCATGATTGCCTTCCTTTTCCCGTTGCCTGTCCTTATTACTTGAGCCTCAAAATGTTCTGCGATAACAAGGCGTTTGTCAGTAGAGCGGGCAAGGGCAAGGGGAAAGAGTAACGTGGTAAGAGAGGTGGGGTTTGACAACAGCAGCACACACGTAACGAAGATACCACTCAAGACGGCTTGTCACCTGGCATTTTTCATCTGTTGGGGGGGGGCGCACCAAAATCAAAATCTTCACGGCTCGGGTAAACAGGCCAAAACCCGTTCATGCGCACCCCTAACCCGAACGGTAAGCGAAAAGACGAAACAAAAACAAAACCTTTTCCTCCACACACCCTAAGTAAAGCGTATAGTAAATATAGGAGATATACCACTACCCGAGAAAGGAGATAGCATGCAACCATGCAAAAAAAACAAAAAATAACCTTTTCCCTCCACACACCCTAACCAGAGCGGTAAAAAGCAACGTAGTGATACCAACACATGCAAACAAGCGCACCAACAAACAAACAACAGCTACCACAACGGCGACCACCGGAGTAAGACACACGCACCCCTAATGCAGCTGATGCCGCCGCGCAAAAAAGACAATCACCACCACCAACAACAATACAGCAATGCATGAATACGGCCAACAAAGATAACGACGACGACGACGACGACATCGGTTGGCATTCACTACCTGCATTGGCACGACGTCCCTCTCGGCCCCGCCCTTGTATCTGACGATGCCGTCCTTCCCGTCGATCTTCTTGAGGATGCCCGTCTTGCCGTCGTTGCGGGACCCGATCACCATCACGGCGTCGCGCTGGGTGTTTGCAACGGGTGTGTGTGTGTGTGTGCATGCATAGGAGGCGTTTTTGTTTGGGGGGGGGGGTCAGGACATTGACGTAGAGAAATTATTTTTTTGGGAGAC